AAGGTTGGAAAGCATTATGTTTCCTCAGTTGGAGCATTAAAGGTTTCAAAGGTATTAACTCCCAAGTCAGGAGACCTTTCTTGTTCTTCAGACAAGAATTCCAGACGGAATTGTGGAGGTTGGTTGGTAAAAGCAGGATTTTCTGAATGGAATTCATCATCCTCATCCAAAACTGTCATGTTAGGGTTGTAGATTTGAGGACCATCATATAGTCCTCCTGAAATCACAAGGGTGTCTTCTGGTGTCCTGTACCTGTTCACTGTGAAAACAATGATATTTAATATATATTGTATGGACATGACAAAGCCATTATATATGACAAGTACATTTAATTAAGTGTCCTTTTTTAGTTTATAAATTAAAAAAAATAGTCAAGCAGTTATGTTATTTTTATATTTTCCTCAAAACTTTATAAGATTTTTTTTTTATCAATCAGGTTCTAGGAAGATCATGTTGCCCATAAATAAAGTCCATTAAATAAGATTTTTTCTAATGCTACGGGTTGCAGACTATTGTTCAAAAATAAAAAAAATCAAAGCAAAATGTTACAGTAATCACGCAAGAGTAATCAATCGTGCAAATGTAAAAACTCAAACATAATAGACCACTAATGTCAGAACTTTTTAATGATTTTAAATTATTGCATTGCACGTGGCAAGCCAGAAACATCTGTGAAAATTTTAGCTGAATAATTACATTTTTTTTTAATTTTATGCTAAACTAAGCTATAGGACTGAATCCATAACACATTTTACAGGATGAAGGGAGCACCTAGACACAGATGTCATGCTCCTTTCCCACTAGTGCTCAAGAAAGACAGGATTCTGAATGGTTGTAATATCTGCACTGTACCTACAGCTCTTGCTCTCCTTTTAACTTTACCTCTAACTGTGACTGCAATATTCAAAAGACTTTCTTATTTAAAGTTACCTACAAATTATTTATTATCAACAGTCATACAATTATTTAATCTGCCTGGCAAATGTTGCAGTTGAACCCAAACTCTTTTGCTAGCTGGATATCTATAAAATAAAATTTGTGTGTAAAAGAAATGCTTTTTGATAATATTAATGATAAGAGTAATATTAATGGGGTTTGAACTGTTGGGGGTGGAAAACACTATATTTCCTGTTCTGGGTCACATCAAATTTAATTGGATTTCATATGTTTAGGTTAAAGGAAAATGTTTTGAATATACATGTACTGTAGGCCATAAAGACCCATGGGCAGAATGGGGAGCAAGGGCCACCATTTTTCTTAACCATCTAACACTGAAGGTGGAGGTGATGTGTTTAGCATTGGCTTATTACCCCTGGAAGGATTAACCACCAGTACTCATTTGGAAAGCAGGCTGAATGGACCTGGGAGCCATCTGGAAGGAATTAGGGCAAGCTACATCACTTACCCCTACCTGGGATTGAACCCAGGTCCTTCCAGTCAGGTGCTAGACACCCTTTCTGTCTGAGCTACCATGGCTCCATGTTTTGAATATATAGCTCAGTATTTTAGAAAATTACAAATTTATTTTTGAAGTGCACCTCTCTTAGCTAATTTTATAGTAAAAAACCACTTACATTTGTAGCCCATTTACAGAATACAATGGGGCATTTTACTCTGACTATTCAGATGAAGTACCTTTCTCAACAGTGCCATGCCTGGGAGTCTCCATGTAATTTGATCCTTAGGAGTGAGTTGTTATTCCAATCAATTATATACAGAGTATTTTTTAACAGGTTTATTTTATTTCAGATCAAAGATTATATTTACTTACATTTAAGTGTTTCTTTCACAATTTGAAATATCTATGAAATGGAGCAACCATACTGTATTCAGAACTTTGATAATTAAACTCAAATATTTGAAATTAAATATGCTAAATATCCTACCTGTGTCATCATGGTTGTTGTAGAGGGGTCGGTGTACATACTGAGTCTTCTTCTTCTTGCATTTGTTAAGGCTGTACATGAATAACACGAGAACTGCCACCCCAAGAATAATACTGAGGAAAATGGTGATAGCCTTTTCAGAATAGCTGAGACCAAAATGTTCACCTAATAAAAAAAAAGAAATGTATGGTAGTTTGCTGACATTCAAATATTTGTTAAAGCTACTGTACTGTATGTTTCAATGTACTTTTTAAGACTTTTGTCTTTAGCTTGACCTTAATATTATCTCTACAGTATACATTTTAAGGTTAAATTAATTTATTGAATCACAGAAGTACTTGCTCTAAAGTTGTTGTTTTTTTGTAGTGGAAGATTTTAAAGGAAAATACTTTGTAAATGATTTTATTTTGAAATAATAGTTTGAAAAGATGGATTGAACAGCTCCCAACTGATGCCAGCTTTTGCTAGTTAACTAATAATAACAACGATAATGATAATGATAAGAAATAATTTAATTAATATTACAATAAATATTATAGTTAAATTATAATTATAGCACTTTAAATTCAGGAGGCCATTTTGCACCAGATATCAGTAAAGAAGTGAAAAATCACTTTACCAAATTTAAATTATGTGGGAGATTTCATTAAGACTTTTTAGTATTTAGTATTTAGTACAGACTGATGAAGACAGTACACTGGGGCTTGCACCACGTCTCTAATGAATAGTACAATAGGATGTTTAATAGATAGATATTTTATTGATCCCATGAGGGATCACTAAGTAGTCATGACTAAGTAGTCATGTTCTCAATTTAACTTCACATTTAAGCCTCCTAAAACACAGTGTCCAGATCATTGTAGGGTATTGGTTTGAAAGTCTGATTAAGGTACGTCTCCTATTTCTCCAACAACCCTACTCTTGCTTTGAACAACACATTTGTTTTTAACATCCAGTTATGAAAAGCAGTTAGTAATGTTCTTTCGTGTCTAATGTGGAGAATGTTCAATGTACATTTCACAAGGAATAAAGACATCCAAGAAACAAATGCATTTGAGGATGTGCATTTGAGCGCTTAGGATTAGTGAGATTTGGTTTATCTGTGGGCCAGCCCAGTGCCCATAGGATGTGGAGGATAGGGCCCTCACGCAGAAGTTAACTGAGGGATATCTGCAAAGGTGGAGATTGGGTGGAGGAGGAGTGTCCAAAACGAATGTGAAAAAGAGAAGTTTAAGCATAAGGTGTTGGGAAATATGAAAGTGTCCTAGTTGTCATCACCCCCCTGAACATCAGTTAAAACAACATTATATCATGTGAAATGAAGATTTAAACTGGACTTACCTAAAGTGGGAGTGGTGAGAGTGAAGTAAAATGAAGTGGGGATCAGTGGACTACTCCCTGTGACATTGGGTAACAGGGTTGATACTGACTGATTGTGGGTGGACTGTGATGTACTTATTGCAGTAGTAATTGCATGAGTCCCCTGGGCTGTTGATGTTGACATGGCTGTGGGTGAAGGATCAGATATGGTGCTCTTCGACACAGATGTGGAATCACCACTGGAGGAATCTGTTGTGAATCCAGTTGCATTTCTGAGAGGAGTTGTCTCTGAAGCAAATTCGGGTGCTTTACTGGTTATTGCTTCTGTTTGAGATGTTGTTTTCTCTGTTGCTGTTGTGCTGGCCATGGTGGTGCTCAACTGTACAGAGGGGGTTGTGGATACACTGTTCAAAGTTGCAACTTCAGCAATAAATGTAACAGCTTCTGCCAACAGAGGGATTGCAGATAATAGACCCAGAGCAACAGCCAAGAGTGGTAAAGTGATGAGCTTCTGGCTCATTTTTGTACATGTAGGAACCTGTGTAGGACAAAATTACAGTTAGCCTTTCAAAAACTCAGGAACAATGTGCAATAATTTCAGAGGAATATAAAGAAAATAATCCACATAAATGCAGACATAGCAAATATAAAATAATGTAATTATACTAAGGATACTATGCTAAAACATTTAAAGTCTTGTAATTTTACGAGTAACTAACACAGACACATTTAAAATCACACTCTTTAGGAAAGGGGATTGCTCTTCACAATAACATCCCTTTGTCTGTGACAGAGAGACCACATTTTAAGCAATGATGAGGAGTTTGAAGTCTCTTTTTTATTTTTATAAAGAAGTGAATTGTATAGTGCTGGTCATTTTATTAAACACTCTTTTTGTTGTTCTGTTAATGTATCATTGTGGAACAGTGCCCGTCACAAGTATTGGGACAGTGAAGTCACAATTGCTATTTTTGCTGCACAAACTAACAATTCAGATGAAAATATGAACAGTATATAAGGCAAACATACACCATGCCATCTTTTATTCCTGGGTATTTCTGTGCTTATACAGTTTGTTGTACTGTTTTAGATTAATAGCACTTTTTGTGTTCAATTCTCTATGTCAGGTAAGCATACATATTGGGACAATTGCCTGCTTGATATTTCTTATTAGTCAGGTGTATCCTGTTGCAACGATTGTGCACACATTAAAGAGCTGTAACTGTGTGGTGTTGGATTTTGCCTTTTCTATGCCCTTTGCTGTCAGCCTTTGTTGTCAGTAGGTCTAAACCAACATGACGACTATAGAACTGTCTAAGTTGAAAGAAAAACAGGCAATTTGGAAGTTGAAAGAAGAGAAGAATTCAAACAGGACTGCACAATTCTGGTGCACAGTATAACACATTAACTGGGCATTGTATAATCAACAATTTGGAATATCTTGAAAAAGAAAGAAACCACTGGTGTTCTTAGCAATCAACAACTCCCAGATTGGCCGAGGAATACAGGTACAGTTGTTAATAGAAAAACAACTGTACTTAATTTCTTAATTTTCTGCACTATTAAGAAAAACTCTAACACAACTGTCGCTGGAATCAACCAGCTCCACAGTGCAAGAGTGATGGTATCACAATCTACTATTCACAGAAGACTTTGACAGCAGAATTATAAAGCCTACACCCCAAGATGCAATTGGCTCATCAGCACCAAAAAGAACAAATTCATTTGAGGATGTACATTTGAGTGCTTAGGCATAGTGAGATTTGGCTTTTCTGTGGGCCAGCCCAGTGCCTATAGGATGTGGAGGATAAGGCCCTCATGCAGGTTAACTGAGAGGTTGTTGCAAAGGTGGAGATTGGGTGGAGGAAGAATGCCCCCAGCTTGTTAAAAAGTACATACAGTACTGCAGATGAGCAAGTAGAGTTATGGAACAAACTGTTGTGGACAGATGAACCAAAGTTAAACCTATTCCAAAGTGATTGCACTGTGAAGGTGTGGAGAAAGGAGCAAACAGACAATCCAAAGCACCACTTCATCTGCGAACATAGAAGTAATGTCTTGGCTTGGCCACCTCTGGAACTGGCTCACACATCTGTACTGATGATGAAACTAATAATTGTAGTAGCAGAATGACTTTAGAGGTGTACAGAAACATCTTGTCTGCCTATGTACAAGAAAATGCCCCAGACTCATTAGTCTGCACTTCATCATGCAGCAAAACGGTGACCCAAAACATATTGCCAAACTGATCTAGGACCAAGTCCTAGACTGGCCAAGTCAGTCTCCTGATTTAAATCCAATCAAGCATGCTTTTCACTTGCTGAATAGGAGACTGAAGTCAGAAACCCTAACAAGAAAAAAGAACTGAAAATACTATAGCTGCAGCATAGACTTGGCAAAGCATCTCAAAAGAACAAACCAACAGTCTGGTGGTGTCACTGGGTGGCAGGTTTGATGCAGTTACTGCATGCAAAGGATTTTTTATACTGTGTTTTGTACTATGTTAATTTACTTTAACGTCTCCCAATACGTACAGTATGCTTACTTAACATGTGGAAATGAACACACATAAAGTGCAACTATTCTAAAATGTTAAAGCATATACAGTATTTGAAAAAATTACACAGAAATAAGTTGACATTCTGTGTATTTTCCTTCTCATCTGAAGTCTGAACTGCTTGAGTATATGGCAAAAATAGCTATTTTGACTTCACTGTCCCAATAATTATGGAGGGTACGGTTTATGAATGACATAAGTCTAAGAATGTACTTAATTGAGTTCAAAGCTGGGAACATGCTTTGGTGTATTTAGGATTAGAGATGTTAATGCAGCACATTCCACAATGGTTTAATACAGTGGTGCACAGCTTTGTTGTGCCAGAGCATAGACCAGCACATATTCAGAAACAAAAATGTCTGGAAAGAAAGGGCAATTGCATCAGGATTAGTTATTGCAGAATTAATTCAAGTGGTGGGAGCTAAAAGAGTATGTGAAGGAAAGAGCACTGAAAAGGGATTCTGAGTTAGCCAACAACGTAAAGCATAAAGAAAGTACAACATTGCCATTTAATATAAAATGTCCTAATAGATTCCTTTTAAATTAACTTTCTTTTCTCTGATTTAAAGAACTACATAAGGTCTATAAACTAATGAATATACAGTAGAAGGTCGGAAATGTATTCTTCCATATAAGCCATGGGCTTGCAACCCTGGACCTGGAGAACTGGTGTACCAGCAGATTTGTTTCTGAAGACCTGGGAGAAGTTGATAAATTGATTTAGTTATGCCAGTTACCAGCTGTTTCAGCTTAGCCTCTCCAGGACTAGGATTGGTCACCTCTAAACTAAACAAATTCAGAAGTCTAGCCATTAGTGTGTCAGACGAGTTTGATTGAAACTGAGATGCAACACAATTAGCACTGAAAAGGAAGATACAATAAGTTAGGCAGGATATATGGGGACTTGCAGGCTCTGAGAAAATAGAAAGACTTAATAGAAAGACAACAGAACCAACATTTGAAAGCTTACAGCATGTGAATAAGAGATGCAAAAGCATATGGCTTTGAGTACGTTTTTCATTTCAAAACATACATACTGTATATTGTAACTCTTGATTATGTCCACTCTTAAGACTTTTGCAGAGCAGTGCATGTACAGTAAGCATTTCCTGTGGCTTTTGTAGTCACATCAGCTATAGGTGCTGTATTTTGTGTGATCAGGAGATATGTCATTTAAGATGTTGATATGTACTGTATAGAAAATAACTTTGTAATGCATTCGTTCTGTGTTGGCTCATCAAGGGGTGCCGGCTGGTATGATGAAATATTGTTCAGGGAGGACGAGAAAGTCTAAAAGAATAAACAAGCCATTTAGGCTTACAACAGAATGTCTCACACACTGTGGAGCTAATCGGTACAAGTCTAGTCTTGGCAGTTCCCTTAAGCAATCAGGTGCTCTGAAACTCCTCTGCTGCTTTGGAAACTATGGGAGGAGACTAACATGATAGCACAAGATTATATGTTCCTGGTATCTTTTTCTTTAAACATTGTGTTGTTCGATAAATAAAACTTATATGCAAAAATTTATTTTCCGTCTCTCAAAGAGAGCAGTCCTAGTCCTAAAACACTGACTTACGCACTATACAGTATAAAACAGATTATCACATTAAAGGCCTCTTATAAAAGTAAAAGCCTTTTTGAAGATTAAACAGTCAACAATAAAATGAGAGATTTGTCTGAATTAAAGAAATACTTCCACTGTAACTTCCACATTTACCAGGAGGAATAGAGAAAGTTGCACTACTGCAGTGTACAAATCTGGTAGAGGCAGCTTCCACCATGCCTTAGGGGACTGCCTTAGAGGACTGAATACTTATGCAATGTAAACTTCACTTTGTATAGCTTCTTTGCAGATTTTGCTGACATTCAACATCATTTACACAATGATTATTGCTATTTTGAATTAAAAAAAATGTACTTGAAAAAATTCCATACATTAATTGTAATTTTTCAAAATGTGAAATAAATAATAATAGTTTAAATCTACTGCTTGCAATTTTGAAACGACACTGTGTATTGCAATGAAATAAGAGTGGCTGGGGGACGAGGGTATTGCAGTGTTAGTTGATTCTAGGGTTTCAGGCTCAGTGACAGCAAGGCCCAACTCAGCCCTTCACTTACTGTACTCAACTTTCCTGAAACGGGTAGTCTCCATTTGTTTGACAGCATGATCAGACATCACTAGAACACCAGGGGTTGTCAGCAAAACATCTGTTAAACCTGGTTTCCCAAACTCATCCTACATTTCTCTTCCTACTACAAATATTTCCCTCTTTGTTGACATTTTCATAGGAAATACAATACTGTAAGCATTAGCCGTAACTGGCTGGCAACAGATATCACTAAATAAAAAGTAAACATTTTTAACACAGCTTATGTTATTAAAAAAATGTACAACTTTTGAAAAGCTTTAACTTTCCAAACTGTTCTTTGAAAAATCCTCTTGTTCTTCCTACACTGTGCAAAGGTGTGTTTTCAACTACATGCCAGACAAAGGAAACCCGTGGGCTATGCCTTTGAAAAAAGAATATCAACTGAGAAATAGAGAGGGAAACTTACCAGATCCTCACTCTGTATCTGAGCGAATGAGTTTATCCGAGAAGAGTTTAGCAATGTTTCTTCCTGGTGCTTGTTTGAACAGTTCTCAGTTTTCATTCCCTGAAGGCCTGGGAAAAGCTTAGGATCAGTCCTACGTCACACTCCAGGTAAGAGGGAGGGATCACATTTTGTTACCTTCCCTTCCTTCCTAGTTTGTTGCCACGGAGACTCAGTTAATAGCTAAATATCTCACTGTGTTTGTTTATAAGCAGTTATACCTCCAGCTGCCTTCTGAGAACTTCCTACATTTTACAACATTGAAAGACTTTTTAATTATTTTTATTTTCTCCTGATTTAGCTCCTCTATGAATTTTAAAACTTGTTAACGACGGTACTCTGGTGTACGTGTACTGATTAGCAAGGATAAGCAATATAACACAAAACAACTGAATGGAAAAGTACCCATTCAATCCAGCTCAAGATGGTGCTTTGTCTTAGTGTCTGTTTGTGATGCCGTGCTTCAGTTTTAGACTGCGAATAAATTATGAATAGACTATGAACTTGTAAGACTATGTTGTCTTACAAGTTTCGCTGTGAAGAGAAAGTATTTTGCTATTTAGATTATGTGTTGTTGTTTTGTAACATATGGTACAATAAATTATTCGTAAAAACAAGTGTCATTCATACACAGTGCAACTATATTTTGTTTACCCAGATTGCTCCATTTTCTCCATGCTTTGGAAAGACAAACAGTTCTTTGTGTTTCTTGAGCTAGAAACAATATAGTATCTTGTTTTTTAGAACATACTGTATACTGATGGAAAAAAGAAAGCAACATTTTCTGGAATGAGAATATTATAGTTATAGCTCATATACTATACTTTCACAAAAAGTTGTCAATTTGTTTTAAGCCCTCTTACCAGCAATACAGCTTGTGCAGTGAGGCATTGCACCTTATCAATCACACGAGAGCTCGTTAGGTGCACTTCCACCCAATGAGGTCCAGGTAAAACAATGCCTGATTAGGTCACCTTAAAAAAGCCTTAATTCAAAGCTTACTGCAGGTCACTGCAAGAAAAAGGCCACACTTAGTCAGTTTTCTGTGCGTTCCATAATGCTTTGAATGTCACCAGAAGGGAGAGGGTCATTGGCATGCTGCAGGCAGGCATGTCATGTGCCAGTGTTGCCAGACTATATGGAGTGAGCCACTCCACTGTGTCCCAACTACAGAGAAGGTTTCAGCAGACCAGCAGGACAGATGACCGTCTAAGATCCGGTCGACATCGGCTGACCACACCAGAGCAGGACTGACACATCAGACTGGTCCATCTGAGAGATTGTTTCAGATCTGCCACCGTACTGCTGCTGAAACTGCCGGCAGACACAATGCCCGCATCAGTGACAGGACAGTGAGGCTCCATGCTGCTGGCCTCAGAGCAAGGCGACCTGTCAGTGGCCCTCTGCTCACACCTCCTAGACGTCTCACCCGACTGGTTTGGGCCAGACAGAGACTGCGATGGACTCATCAGCAGTGGCATCAGGTCCTCTTCACAGATGAGTCACTCTTCAACCTGTTCCATGCAGACGGGAGGGCCAGAGTGTGGAGGAGGAGGTGTTGCATTTCTTTTTTCCATCAGTATATTTTCATGAACATCATATCTGACTTCTAGTGTGTATACTTAATTCAAATTTTTCCTGACTCTGTAGGTGACCATTCTCAAATGTTTTCTGGCTTTCACCCTTGTCTTTTTCCAATATGAATTACTAGGATTTGAGAATCACACTGAAAGCATGCTGGGAACCGTACTAAGGCAGTAAATCACAAAACCAAAGTGAGACAACTGTGGTAAGTACATGTTATTAATATCTTTATTCAGAAGGAAATACCTTATTTTTTCCTGATTCTGCAAAAATTATATTTCAAAATGAAAGGTTTCCTTTCGTTGCTGATCAAAGACATGCAGACAACATCTTGATAAGAACATCACTGAAAATCAAACAGAAGTTAAAACACATTGTTCAGAATATTGGTAATTGGAATAATAAGTGTTAAATATACATAAACTACTGTAGGTAGTACAAAATCACAGTTTACAGCCCAAATTCTTCATCTTCCTGAAGCCGGATATGCATTTCATATAGCACCTGTTAAAAATCCATTATTTACTACAGCTAAAAGCTTGAAGTATAACAAACTACTAAAACATCTTGCCTGGGATTCTCAGGTGCTCCTGAGTAGCTTGACCATGAAGTGAAGATCTGGAGTGCAAGCTGAGCAGGACTAGTGGTCAGGTGGATCTATATTTAGCTAGGGTGTCCTTGGACATGATCACACCCTGTTGCTTGAAAGGCAATAGTGAGTTTGCAGTATTAGAGACCTGCCCTTGGCGCTACAAGCACTGCAGTGAGCTTGTAGGGTGAAAACCTAGAGCGCATTTTTGATATTTTGCATGTACTGCATCCAGCTACCCTGCAATACACATCCCTGCCAAAATAATAAGAACATCCACTGAAAAACACCAAGAATGATTCCACAGGGTTTCAGAGTAGAGAAGTATGGTAGTGCAGTGATAATTATTCCAGGGTGCTATCTGATTAGAGTTTGTACTGTATGTCTTTCTTGTGTTTGTGTGGGTTTTCTCTGGGTGCTCCGGTTTTGCCCTACAGTCCAAAAATATACTGGCAGGTTATTGGCTCCTGGGAAAATTGGACCTGGAGTGAGAGTGTCCATGTTTGTGTGTGTCCTGTGATGGAGTGACATCCTGTTGAGGGTGTATCATGTCTCGCGGCAGTCGCTTGCTGGGATAAGCTCTTGCTCCCCTGCGGCCCTGTATTGGATAAAACTCTGAGAAAATGGATGGATGGAAGTACAGTATGATTGTTGTAATGGACAACTGAGATTGTCAGATCTTGTGATTCCGAGTTTAAAATGCCTGTAGTAGGTTATTGTTATACACTTACACTGCAGCATCTCCAGGCCCTCCTCACTGATACATTCATCTTAAACAGAAGATTATTGAATATAACAATTAACAATGAAAGTGCGTCATATAAAAGTATTTCAAAGAATAGGACTGGGCACACTGCTTATCAAGTAGCCCTGCAACACTGTATATATATATCGATCCTCAATGTGACTTTAAGTTAGACTTTGTATGGGAAATACTTTTTTATTCCTTGACAAACATTTCTCATGCTTTGTAAAGACAGATATAAACAGCAGTCTTTTTCTACCCAGCACTCAAACATTTATCACTTCTATTCTTCAGATTGCTTGATTGTTCTTTCAAACAAAAAAGTATCCAAAAAAAAAATCTGGAGCAAATCCCAAATGGATGTTTCTAACTATCATAACTGACAGAGTGGTAGTATAAATGATTTCTGCTCCGATCTAGGTCTCATTGTTCCCAAATGGATTGTCTGATTAGTTCTTTCACAGACGGGTCATCTTCTCCATAATTATCTGGATGTTGCGTTCAGTGTTCTTGAATGCAGGGTTGCTTATTCCTTTGGCCAAATTGCCATCTGACTTCTCCTTCCACTCTGCCACTGAGAGCTAGAAAGCACAAGAAGATAGAATTTAGCAGGGTTCAAAAAGGCATCAAGCTCAGAGAGTCTTGCTAGGAATAGAACTACAGTTCCTTTATTTTAAAGTAGGTAAGGATTTGTTTAAACGGGGATCATTAGAAAGGTGTAGCTTCAGGCAAATCACTGAAACCATGGCTAAAAGGATGAAAGTTTAAGAAAACCTTAGTATACTTTTAAGAGACCACAGTCAAAGAACCTTATTGCTATGAGCTATTTCAGGTGCATAACTTGTGTCTAAATCTGGTGCTTGACTCTGTGCTGGAAGCTATTGCTTTTATTTGAAAAAAAAAAATGTAACTGTGCCAACAGCTGCTGCCCTCCAGGCTTTACATCATTTAGATTCTCATGCTGAAGAACCCTAGAGTTTTCTACTCCCTATGTAATCAATAAATTAGAAGAAGTACTTCTACAGTTAACCACAATGAATTTTAATGGCACTCTCATACTGTATAAGTAACACTGGAACAGAGAAAAGGGATTGCATGAAGGCATCAGAAAATGGATGAATGAATTATATGGTAAACCTTTAGATGTACAACTTATAGTTTTTTTCATGGTTAGTATATGCCCCTGCACGTTATAGCAGGATTTGGGATATAGGCATCTCAGGCTTTAAAATTAAAGCCATCATTAAATGTAGGACTTGGTCTTAGGGCTTAAAACATTTTTTTTTACTCTTCTACACCTCTGAAGTATATATTGACTATGATCTCTTAGTATACATTAGGTATAGTTATCATTACAAGACTTGCACTAAAAGTAATAGAAAGACAATGTAGGAGATATACACCACAGTTTAGAGCAGAGGTGGGCATTTCTTGTCCAGGAGGCTCAGATTGTCCACAGGTTTTCTATGCTGCTCAAAGCACCAGCAGCTAAAGGGCTGGGAGAAGCTGTTACAGTATATTAGTCTTTTCAAGCCAGTAATGAGGTAACTAAGCTCATTTAGAGATTAATAAGAATCAAAACCTACTGACATACGGGCTGCTTCAGACCAGGGTTGCCCACTACTGTTAGATTCTTAATTAGCTACTGTTACAGTCAATATGAAGCCCACTTTCCCAAGTTGACCAGTTTTACCTGAGGTGATTCCTTGTTGCAAGTAAAACAGATAAGGTCACTCTTCCTGATTAAAAGATCAGGATTGACCTTCTTCTGTTTACATCCTCCTGAAGAAGATGAAATGGTACATGTGAGAGCCTTTTATCACATAACAGGAGCACACATACTGAGACAGGGTGTTGCTTTACCTGAAATGATGCTGATGAAGAGGCCAAAGATGAGGGCGACCAAGGTGCCCAAGGGGCAGAAGTACAGGTAGGACAGTGAATACCAGTTGTCTGCAATTGCAGGTCTTTCACTGAAACACCAGGTCAGTATCAGTGTTAATAGCCTGTTTCTGTGTATTGTTGACTTTCTCAGGGCACATTGGAGAAATGCAAGCTTTTTTTTTAAATCAAAATGTTTCATGGCTGCTGTATTATATAATAATAATAATAAATAAAGAGGAGTAAAACATTTGGGCCTGAAACTGCATTTCAAATATAATAAATCAACCAGTAAAAATGTATGGCCTCAGGTACAGCCTATTCCCCTGTGATGCAGGATCATGTCACTGGTGTTAAAGTAGTGGTGCAGCAGGCTGGACATTTATTGATCAGAGTTTTTTGGATTTCAGCAAAACAGTGACCTTCCTGACGTTCCAGGCAACTGTAAGCTTGTGTGTGAACATTTTAGTCCACTTTGAATCACATTTCTATCAGTAGGTCTATCGGATTTACATCAGTTTATTTTGCATAATAAGAAAATGACACAAAACATACAAAGTGTTGCATATCTGAATCTACAGAATTTTAGAGAAAAAATTAAATAAAAAACACAAACAAAACGGAAATAATTTTTACTGGAATTAAGAATAAGAAATTAAGAAAGAAATTTTACTGGCTTAAGGAAAATCCAGAAGTGGTCCCCCAGGACTAAAGTTGAGAACCGATGTAATTCAATCCCTCAGGAGAAACTTACACTGAATAACTAGCTGCTGTAGGTGTTCCTCCTATACTCCAGGGGGTGGTAGTGCTGCCGTTAAGATGCTGTGTGAGATTGGAGAAGCAGCCGTCTGTGCTGAGGGAGAGGGGCAATGTCTTTTCAGGCAGGGGTGGGTATATCTGTGCCCCAATCCCTACCCACAGTGTCAACACCAGGCTTGTGATCAGACCCGTCAGTCCTCCCTGTGTGATCAAATTTTTGTCAGCAGACTTGTAAGAGTATTCTTCAAGCTGTTAGCAACTACAGTTACCAGTAAATACAGAATAATGTAATAGTGTAGTCTGGGCTTTCAAACATTCCCTCAATCACAGTTTCTTTTTGGATTATGTCAATAGCTGTTACCAGGATTCCCCAAACTGCAGTCATTCAGAATATTTTTCACTCCATAGTCTGATCATTTTGGAGCTACCTTTTTCAGTACAGCAATGAGTCTTTTAAAAATGTTGAATTGCAAACTGTCAGGGACGAACAGCTTCAGAAATTATGTTTAAGCAGTCAGATTCTATTATTCAGCCTGTAAAGTAAAACTCTGCTCTTCTGCTCTTGGGAAGAGCCCAGGTGTTGCTTCATTTTCTCTTCATTTTGAATGTACTTTGTGTATGAAGGCAAGGTGTTTGAGATTTGCTATGAACACTGTGGGGCTCATGGAATAGCAGAAGTGATCTGCTTAATAAATGTTAGGAGACTGTTTTGTGTTGTTAGTGCTGCACCTAGTGACTGAATCAATTCTAGATTTACTCAGTCTTACAGGGCAGAAATATGGAGAAGCTTTCTGAGGATTTTCTGAAATGTATCTGATTGTCGCTATTTGAATTATCTAGAAAGAAACTGTAGCTTGCTGCCAGTGCTTTAACAATGTTCTCAAATGTGACCAGATTAAAAAAAAATCTAATGAATATTTTTGAACAACTGTAATTGTACTTTTACAATAATGTGATATATAAGATAATACTACAGTATATATATATTTTTTTTTGCTTGGTGTACATCATCAAAGGAAAATCTAAGGAGATTGATCTTGTTTGCTATGGACAACTTACAGGGTAAACATGCTCACTTAAATAGTGCAGAAAGTCTTTAATTTATCTGACATATTTGACATATTATCATCTGCCATGGTCCATCACTCCCAAATATATCCTAAGTCTAAACTTAAGTAAGAACTGAACAGTTTATTAAAACTACAGAAGCTCATCACTTAACTGTTTCCTCTAGTGATATTCACAGCCCAGTACACGCTTTCATTTAACTTGTTTTAGAGGTTCAGGATGCTCTTATGAAATAAACCTCTATATACTGTGACACCCATAAAATACTTAGATAAGCCACCTGATACAGTACATATACTGTATCTGTAGCCACCAAGTTCACAGTATACTGCGTGGTTTAAATGAATATATTGGACACAAAAGTATGTGTGTATAGAATATATATATGAACTCTAGTTCTTTGTATTGGTAATTAATAATAATAATTAAGATGTGGGTCCTAACATCTGTCAGTGCAATAGAGAGGAAGGGTTTGAAAGGTCATGTTCTAGATTTCTAAAGACAATGTTGTAGAACTTCACTCTCAAAAGTTGGCAGTGGTTCTGTTTTATGAAAATGTGTTTGTTCATTTGTTTGGGTGTTCTCATACAAAAGATGATTTCCTATAATTATTTTTGTGCTGCATCCTGTGTCTTTTATATACAGTATAATATATACTGTACAGTACACATAATTTTGGTCAGTATCTATTGCTAGAATATCCTGCATATATGGGAGACAAGAACATGTTGATAGATATTTCTACATCACGCTATGGTTTGTGGTCATTTACTGTATATTCTTTTGCTGGCCTTTACCTGTCAATTAAAATAAGAATCTAATATTAAATGGAAAATACAATACTTACACTTTCCTATAGTAGTACGGAGTTAGCCATTCCTATATTATATCCACCCATCAATTTTCTAATACAGGGTTTGTGGGGGAGCTGGAGCCTATCCCAGCAAGCAACAGGTACAGGACAGATACACCCTGGATGGGATGTCAGTCCATCACAATACACATGCCAACACAAACACAGACATGCATACAGTCAATTAACCTGGCCCTGGTGTGACTTACAGTGGTATTCCCACAGGGAAAGAGCATTCCAAGCAGGTACAGGCCCAGCAGTGGTCCGCTGATCATTCCAAAAATAGAGAGTGCTGCCTTGAATGTTTAACAAAAGGACATGTGAGACGCAAACTACCCATACTATGCCATGTTCAACAGAGAGCAGAGGATATCAAATTAAAAACATCAAGAGCATATAGTAATTTTGCAGTTTTGGAGGAGCATTGCAATATTTTGGCCAATTTTACTGTTATTGAATGATATGGACATGATACTATAAATACACTAGACAGTTTTATTTTATATAAAGTACTATATAAGGTACAGACAGAGGCAGTGTAGCATAGTGAATAAGCTTTCGGACTGCTGAGTGGCAGGTTGTGGGTTCACATCACTGCTGTTGTACCTTTGAGAGAGGTGTATTGCCTCAGTCCACCTACAGTAGCTGTATGAGTGGGGACCAGGATTAATGGGGTCATCCCCGTGACGGACTGGTGTCCCCTTCAGAGAGGTCACATGCTCTCCATCCCCTTAATGCTTCAGAAACCAGGATAGGCTCTGGTATGAACTTCTGACCCCTTTTATAAAGAACAGACTGCAAAAAGATTTTGAGGCCTACCTGCAGAATGCCACCCATTAAGGAAGATAAGGCTGCCATTCCAATGCATAAAGCCCCAAAAAAGACACCTACAATTGAAATAAAATTGCAAGCACTAAGATGAGGAAACTCTTCAAACACAGAGATTTTTACTGTAGCTTGACATCCTTGTGCCAATGATTGCACAAAGCTGTGTCCATATTTGTCAGGACATCAGGAGTTAGCCTCCCTGTGGGTTGGGGTTGCAGGAATCCTTCTTTTGCAGTTTGTGTTAATTAGTTTTGAAACAAACAAGTAGAAATAAACATGCTAAAAAGCGAATACCTGAACACTGCATTTTCAGTTTTTTCAGCACAGAATTAAATTCTATTTGATTCTTTGCAGCTCTTCTTCTGAACCTCTTAAGTTTAAAACACCTTGAATATGGTATCCTATACCACTTAATTAAATCAAGAGAATGGCAAATATATGCTTATTTTAGTTTTTTTATTATTTCCAGTTGCTTGATTACATACTGTACTCCTCTGATTTGGGCTTGACAGTTGTTGATATCCCTGCTTGGCAGGGGGCAAATGAAGATCTGCAGTCACTGTAACTGCAACTGGATCTGGATTGTTTAATTCTAGGTACAGTACATATGCAGCCATTCAAAATGCGCGGGCGATACCGCATTATTTTCCGGTACGCTGTACGCAGTCTACCGCGAGTTAC